GTTGTTAACCAATGTCATAAAACAACATGTGTACTACTGTTTCATGAGAAACTATTTGTTCTGTAAGCCTTCACCTGAAGTACATAAAATATTTAAAAAGAAAAAAAAACAAAACCAATGAAAATACTAAAATTTTGCTTTTTTTCACGCTCCATTCTCTACTCCCCTTAATAAGAAAACTTAACAGAAATGTTCTATATTCTCTGTGTATATGCTTTCTCACATTTTGCTTCCTTCTTAATCCTCTCCAATGAACCCATCTTCTGCCCCTACACTGTGGTAACATTGTTCTTGTTAAGGTCACCAATTACAGTGTATCCATATTGCCAATTCCAATGGTTACTTTGCTATATCAGTTTAACCTTTTTTCTCCACTGTATTTGACACAGCTGATGTCTCCCTCCTTGCCACACGATATCATCTCATATTCCCCTTCCACCATTTTCCTTGCTTTTTTCTTATCTTCTTAGCAATTCCTTCTCATTTTCTTTTGCTGGTTCTTTATCCTCAATGTAACCTCTAAAGATTGGAGTATACCAAGGGTCATTTCCAGGCCTGTTTCTCTATCAATAATCTTTATGTTTAATGTAATACCATTTATAGTTTGATGACTTCCAAATTTATAGCTCTGATCGCTATTATTAGTTACAGAGTCATATATCCAATTATCTATTTGACATCTTCACTTGGATATTTTATAGGCCTACCAAACATAATGCATAAAAAATAGAATTTTTGATTTCTAGTCTCCCATCACTCAATTAACAGTTCCTCCCTCAATCTTTAGTAACAGTGCACTCCCAGTTATTCAAATAAAAACAATCTAAAATTTTACTTTTTTAAATTTTTTATCGTAGTAAATACAGAAGTAACAAAACACTGCCATTTCAGCAATCTTCCATCTAAAAGTTTTTTTTTAATTTTCTTTTCCTTCAAGTCCCTCCCTCCTACTAACCAATCAGCAAGACCTGTCAGCCTTACCTCCACAATCTACAGAATTCATTCCTTAAAAGCCCCCTAACCCTACTGCCACCACCCAAATCCAAGCCATAGTCATTTCCCGTATGGACTACTTACTAGAATAATTTACTAGCTAGTCCTGTTAGTTGTACTCCCTACCCATACACTAGCCTAGCTTCTTATAACCAAAGTGAACTGAAAATATCTATATGTAGATTATATTCTTATATATTATATAGATATCAAATTATGTCTCACATGGCTTCAGTTCCTTCAATGTCTTCCCACTGTGCTTAAATTAAATCTAAATTCCTTATCACGATCTACACAGCCTTTCATGATCTGGACCCTCATTTCCTGCCAGTCACCCCTTGTTCACCATGCTCTGGTCATTCGGATTTTATTGCTCTTCCTCAAACACGCCAAGCTAATATCCTCCTTAGGATCTTTGCACTTGCTGTGTTATGTGTTTAAGATTGTATTTCTCCAGGATATTGCATGCCTGGGTTATGTTTGTCATTCACGTCTCAGCTCAAATTTCACTTTCTCAGGTAGGTTTATCCTGACTCCACTATAGAAGGAAAGCTATCCTTCATCTCCAGTTATTCTCAAGGGCATTAATTACCAATTGTAATTATTTGTATGTTTACTTTATCACTATCTGTTTTCCATGAGAGACTATACATTCCATGAGCATGGAGTTTGTCACATTTTATCTGCATTTCTAGCACCCAGGATGGTGCCTGACACAGAAACATTCAATATGTGAGTGGATACCTGTTTACTAAACCAGGAATACAAACAGAAAGAAGGGAGTCTGCACGCATTCTCTGTATTCCCTTCACTATACACTCTCAGAGAAAGCCTGAAAACTCTACTCCAAACACTGGGAGTAAAATAAACAGTACAAATATTCCTTTCAACCTGAGTTATTATCATCTTTGCACAATTTCTCAGAATTAATATAATCTCACAAGATATACCCATTTACGTCAATTACATCATTTTCACCCTAGATATGCCAGTAAGGAGCATTATGTACAATAAGAAGTCTCTGATATGGCTTCTGTTTCCACCTCAGTGTCGTTTGACTGGCTGCTGTCCACAGGGAAATTGAATCTTGAGGCGTTATATTTGTAATGTTGTTTAATGGTAGAATTCTTGCCTTCCATGCAGGAGACCCGGGTTCAATTCCCCACCTCAAGCGTAGCCACCACCTGTCTGTCAGTGGAGGCTTATGTGTTGCTGTGATGCTTAACAGGTTTCAGCAAAGCTTCCAGACTAATAAGGACTAGGAAGAAAGGCCTGGCAATCTACTTTCGAAAATTAGCTAATGAAAACCGTATGGATCATACTAGCTTGATCCTCTCGTTCATGGGGCTGCTATGAGTTGGAGTTGGGGGTTGGGGGCTGAACTGAAAGCAGCTAGCAACAACAACTATTTGTAATGTAAATGGCTGATCAAGTTTCTCGGGTCCACAATATAGTCATCAAACTTGAGTCTTCCAAGATTTCCACTAGCCCTCAGGTTCTTTTTTGTTTGTTACCAATGTCTAATAAACCCCTACGCATGGACTCTGCTTAGACAGGGGCTTGGCAGGTACTCTTTCACATAATTTTGAAAAGAATGTAAGCTTCTGCTTGTGCATTTAGTTTTCTATTGTTTCTTTAATTTATAAGACACTCAGGAAATCTTTAATTTATCACCGTAAATGTGTGTCTTTTGCACCACCAAATCTCAGAGAAGAAAAATTAACATATAGACCTAGAGCACATGTAATTTTTATTTTTAACAAACTTATTGATTACAATATTTAATATCTCCTACAGAGTTGCTATGAGTCAGAATCAACTCAGAGGCAACAGGGACACATAAACATTTTCTCTTCGGCACACATGATTTATGGCTATTCTGCGCTGCTAAGTAGCAGAGCAGATCACTCCAAAATTTGTTTGCTACAACACAAATGATGTGCTTTTGATGGAATATCCCAAATAAATATTTCATAGACAACTTATATACAATTCAAATCATATTCCTCTGTGATACAGAGGTGATCCATATTGAATTCATATTTCTTTTGATAGTTTTGATGTTTTAACATCTCAGTACATAAGCTTTTGATTGGAGGTCTCATTTCGACAACCAATGCCTGCTGCATTCCTAGTTTGTTAAAATCAAACTTACACGTGTCTTTTATGGTGAAATGTCTTTTAATATGCAATAAATAGTTCTATTTACGTCCTTTCTTTTGCCAACCTTATTTTATAAAAACTTTCTACATACACTGTTCCTCCCTCACATCTATAGAGTATCTTTCTTTCATTGATCTATGAACCTGAAATAATCCTTGAATTCATTGTGACAATATTTATTTCAATAACAATTTATGCCTTAATTGTGGTGATTATTGATATTATCTGCTACATTCATAGGGTTCCACAGTATTTGATTAAGAACATTACTCTATTGAGTCTTTTCCAAATATAGTTGGATTATCTGAGAAGAAAAGTCTCACTAGGACCACGAGGATAAGCCCGCTGCATTTCACAGGAATGCAAATAACGGCAAGATGCTATTACGCTTGTTATGAAATAGCCCTACAACTTTGCATCTGGAAAAATGATTTAGAACTAACTATGAAAATGCCCTCACCTCACAGATGGTATTGGGATATTGACCTCTATTTGTTTTGAAACGTTTAAAAAAAAAAACTCTGAAAGTAGGGAAAGAGAGGAAAAAGACAGATCTATAAATATAGATAGATATAGAAATATACACACACATGTATACGTATATACATATATAGACAGACAGAGAAAGTCAACATCATCTCTCCATGAGATTCCCTAAATTCTAAGTAAATTTTAAGATAAATTCAACATAGGAAACAAACATTAATGCAAGAACCGAAGATAATTAAGAGCCATCTTCTCTTCCTTTTTTCCAAAAAATGATCGTTTTTCTTCAGATCTGTATATGTGTTAGACTTCTCTTCTTTTTAGGATATATTTTACTTTCCACAGCACTCTTAGAGATGCTTGTCTTAACTTATTGTTCCTCAGAATTAGAATAAACGAATGGCTTGAGGGACAGATTAGAGCTATCAGCTCACCCAGTATCACAGCTAGTTCTGTCTCTGGCAGAAAGTAGCTGGAGGTGGCTACAAGAAAGGCCAAAATGCAGGTAACAAAGGGGAAGAGGAAGGAGATAACAGCTGTTACGGCTCCTACGTGGGCAGCTCTGCTGGGGTCCCTGCATCCTGTGGCATTTTGCTGCATCTGCCTGGTGTGTCTCCACAGGGAGAGGATCAAGAGGAGAAATGAGATCAGGGACACAGAAAAGGGAAATAGGGTTGACAGGTTGAGAAGAATCTTGGTGGAAGCATACTGAGCTTTATTTGCTTTATTTACTCTGCATCTCTGAGTTGAATTTTTCTTCCACTTCAGCTTGACGCAAAGCATGAAATCATCATTCAAATCCTTGGTGACTGGAAGGCTAATAAACACAGAGAAGGCCAAGCACCCCAGCAGAATCCAGGGAATCACCTTGTCAATTCGCCACTTCATCCAAAGGAACAGGGGATGGAAAAATTAGCTATCTTGAGGAAATAGAAGATGCTCAGGCAGGTGGCAAACCAGACGCTTAAATTGTTGGTTAGTGTCCAGAAGAAGTCAAGGATTTTCATTTGTTTACCAGTGGTGTAGACATCTGGATACAACACCAATATCAAGCAATCTAGTAGTATTATGCACAGTAGACAAATTCTGGACATTGCCAGACTTGTGAGGATTAAATCAACGGAGGCAATCTTCCTGTTCTTGGCCCAGTCCATGCAGTTTACCAATGCAATGAATGTATTCCCTAACATCCCCACTGAAAACTCTCCAGCTGCTATGAGCATTAATATTCTCTCCACTTTACCTGGCGTGTTTGAATAGAGAAATATTCTATTCGTTTCTGGTTGACCTGATGCAGTATGATATCCACACCTGCTTCTTAGATTTTGCTATAATTTTCTTTACCTCTTTTCTTGTAGTCTGTCTTGTGATGGAGACTGGAATGCTAAATGAAGATTGTAGCTGTCGTCATTAAATCCTGGTTAGTCTTGACAAACAGCATGCTTGGTGATCCCTGGACTGGGCATTGAGTGTCTACTTACCGTCTCAGCTGGTTGTATTTTTCCACATATTTAGGCTGAGCTACTGTTTGTTAAGATGCAAATAGAGCCAATTTCCTTTCACGGTTCTGTACTATCTTTCTGAGGCTAAGTTTAAAATTTTCTGATTCATTAATCTGTGATGCATACTGATAGTCTTTAATAGTGTTGCCAGATTTAGCAAATAAAAACAGGACATGCAGTTAAATTTGAACTGCAGGTCAAAATGAATAATGTTTTATGCCTCAAATTGCATGGAATTAATACTTCTGGGAAGTACTGAAACTCCGATTAACTGGATGTCTTGTATTTCATCTAGCAAATCTACACCTCAAGGATCTCCTAGCAATTAGAAAATGGGCAAAATTTAAAATTTGTTGGGGAACCTTCATTTTGTTGATAAATAGTAATATAGATTATTAGTAACGAATCTGAAGTTTGGGTCCACATTCAGGAATTTAAAAGGTTAACACTAAATATAGATGATTTGGTTCCAAAAGAAGTATTTTAGCCCATTTATCTTGCTTGTTCAGATAGGCAATTGTTTGGCACAAGGTCTCTTAAAGTAATGCATTTTCTTCTAAGTCAAATGACATTTAATGGTCACTTAGTTTGTGATGCTATGTATAATAAGGTGAAGGAGCCGTAATAACAACAGCAACAAAAAGAGTATTGATTACCTTTAGACTTTTCCTTTTCGCCTAAGATGTTCTCCAGAGCAGTTGTACGTATGAGGGAGGAGAGAGAGATTCTGTTTCTTTGTACTCTGCACACTTCTCCATATCAAATTGTATCTGAGTATCTTGACCCTTCAACTTTCTATCTTGTTAGGCAGGAGACTGATGATTAAATTTACCTCATCTTTGCATTCTAAGAGCTGCCCCATAGGGTTTCCAAAGAGCAGCTGGTGGATTCCAACTGCAACCTTTTGGTTCGCAGCCAAACTCTTAACCACTGTGCCACCAAGGCCCCTTTTGTGAGATAGCTTCTCTAATTCAGAGTTACCGAGAAACACTATGCCACATAATGTCTCCACAGAATAATTCTGGGGTACTCACACCTTCCTGTGAACACATGTATTCTCTCATCCTTCCTTAAAGGACAAGACTTCATTCCTGAGACGCAGCCCTGATGTTTGGACCAATTACCTGCTAATGTAACCATGTTCACAGGTGACGTCTTTTCTCTGATTTTGGCAATGATCCCTGACCTAGTTACATTATTGGTAAATAAGGTGCTCATAGCAACTGTGATAATATCTTCATCCAGATATATTTTAGACTAAATTTTTGTTTTATTGCAAGTAAGTGTAGATTTTATGCTTGCTAATGATGTATACCGTAAAGGTTATAGGAATGTTATACTTAAGGGAAAAAACTTACACTAGAGAGCATTTTATCATGAACAGCCTACTTTCAACTCCAATCATTGTGGTCATTGGAGATATTTGATAGTATGAAACAGAAACAAACATGGAAGGAAGGACTTCGGACTAATGGGATGGGGGGCAAACCTTCCCAGAGCACTGATATTATAAACCACTTTGTTTAAAACTGCAGAAGAATATAAAGTTCATCCCAGCATAGAATACACAAGTGCTTCGTAGAATATACTGATATACAGTATTTCATGAAAGGAGCATCAACTCTCCTTTGCTGCACAGCAAATAGAAACATAAATAACTGAGGTATTAGAAATATAGCTGATGAGGTTTATGTACTTAGGACTGCAGATACTGGTACTTTACAGAGTAAATTTTGTATAACTCCAAGCAAAAAATCTCGATCATTTTCAGGAAAATAGTATTTTAGTTGTGATAAAAGGAAATGGGTAGATTGAAATTGACTAGAATTAGACACAGAAAATCGTGTGAGTAAAAGCAAAAATACCCAGCCAGATCAGAACAGACAAGGCTTTAAATGTGCCAGGCCAGGTGTTTCCATTATACTCTCCTGATAAGGGATGTGATGTTCAAAGTAGAACAATATTTTATTAATGACTCTTATTTTTCTTCATCTTTCTTTTTTTAATAATTTGCTCTGTATATATTATGGACATGTTGTTGTTAGTTGCTGTCAAATCGGTTCTGACTCCCGGCCACCCCATGTGTGCAGAGTTAGAACTGCTCCATAGGGTCTTCAATGGCTCTGACCTTTCGGAAGCAGATCGCGGAGACTGTGTTCCCAGGTGTCTCTGGGTGGATTCAAACTGCCAGCCTTTCAGCTAGTAGTTAAATGCGTAACCGTTTGCACCACCCAGGGACTCCTTTATGAAGTTCATTATGGATATACATTCATTTTTAGTGACAGTATATAGTTATTCCACGGAGCCCTGATGGGGCGCAGTGGTTAAGAGCTTGGCTGCTAACCAAAAGGTTGGCAGTTTGCCTGGAAACCCTATGGGGCAGTTCTACTCTGTCTATAGGGTCGCTGTGAATCAGAATCGACTGACAGCAACACGTTTTGTTTTTTATACAGTTATTCCATAGTATACACTAATTTTTTCACAATTCATTTCTTCCCTGAAGTCCTGAGTGAAAAGAACCCGTGTAGGTGATGTTCAGGAAAGGAAGTGACAGAAGCGGTTTGACCGATTCTATTTATCCCTGTCCTTTACCGGACTGTGAAAAGCACTTAGCAGCACCCCTTAGAGGAAGATCTTTGAATGAGCTCAGTTTTTATACAGATCCTGCCTGAAAATCAAGTTATCTGAAGAGAAATTTAATTTCAAGAGAAATGAATAGGAGGTACCAGAACCAGGAAGCAATCACCTGGGAGACCACGGAAAACGCCATCACTCAGCTGGAAAGAGAGAGATGGTGTACATAACCAGGAAACTGAAGCAGACACAGCGCCGGGGGGATCTGAGGTCCTGGTTCATAAGCCCAGCCTGAGCCAGAGCTATGATGGAGCACAATAAGGGCCAGCAATGATTTTTGGCAATGATTTTTTAATTTTACAAAATTAATTTTTAATTTAAAATTTTTTTTTAAAATTATAAAATTAAAGGAGAAACCAGTAAGGACAACTCAGGTAGCTTTCCTCGTGGTCCAAAGGAAAATTTTAAAGGAATTTAACTAAGCAGCACAACTCAGGTAGCTTTCCTCGTGGTCCAAAGGAATTTAACTAAGCAGCACACACCTAACATCTGCAGTGAGAGGACAAAAAGAGAAATGTGAACTCTTCAAAACATCTGGCGGAAAGGGAGTGTGAAGATGAGAATGTCTGGGGCATAAAGACACCTCAAAAAACAAAACAAAAACCCATTGCCATTGAGTCAATTCCAACTCATTGTGACCCCCTGTGTTACCAAGTAGAATTGTCCTATAGGGTTTTCTTGGATGTAATCTTCATAGACAGATCACCAGGCCTTTCTTCTGCAGTGCCCCTGGGTGGATTTGAATCACCCATCTTTAGGTTAGCAGTCTAGCACAAACCCTTTGTGCCACCCAGGGACCTCATAGTTGGTTAATAGGGCTCAATAACACTTAAACATATGCATCCAAAATAAATGGAATAACGAAACTAATGAGAAGTAGTATGTAAGAAAATTATATTTTTATTAGAAAAAAAGATCTACTTTTAAAATCCATTGATAAGGCTAAGATTTTATGTCATGCAGGCTATTTTTCCACATGTCAGCATCCTGGCAGATGCCTGCCTCAGCTTGTTATATCCAAGAATTAAAATTAACGAGTGACCAGAAGGATAGAGAATTGTTATGGTCTCTCCAAATATCACAGCTACCTTTTTTTCTGTCCCACAGTAGCTAAAGGTCAACCAAAAAAAAGTCAAATAGTACACAAATAGGAGGAAAGTAAATAAAGTCACAGTTTTCATGGCTCTTACATGGGCCTCCATGCTGGAGTCTCTACAACCTGTAGCTTTGTGTTTCATTTGCTGAGTATGTCTCCACAGGGATATCATTAAAAGGAAAAATGAGATCAATGACCCAGTAAATGGGATAATTCCCAACAAGTCAGAGACAGTCAGTACATTAAGCTCAGTTTTACTTACATAGAACAATTCAATGAAGTTGCTTTTCGGTTTTGCAAGGATATGAAACCGATAATCACAACTGACTATCGTTACTAGTATAAGGAAGGTCAACAAGGAGATGGCCAAGCACCCCAACAGGATCTGGACAACAGCTCTGTCAGTTCTCCACTTCAACCAGAGAAAAAGTGGATGGGAGAAATTGGCTATCTTGAGGAAATAGAAGACACTGAGGCAAGTGCCAAACCAGGTACTTGTGTGATTGCTGAGCATCCAGAAGGTATCAATGGCTATCCTTAGTTTTACATTTAAAAACAATCAGGGTGGAATATCTGTATGACGATATCTAGTACTATCACACAGATCAGACAAATTCTGGAGAGAGCTAAACTGGTGAGGATGTTAGTCAAGTGAGGACAGCTTTTTCTTCTTAACCCAGTCAATCCAGGTTACCAGTCCAATCAATCCATTCCCCAATAATCCCATTATGAATTCTTCAGTTGTTGTGATCACGAAGATGCTGTCTCCTGCACTGAGCATGTTTGTACAGAGAACACCTGACCTGAAATATCATTGCAGATGGGCTAATTTACAGATGACCAGTTGGAGAGTGATCAATGAAATCTTCACATCATGGAACAGTATTTTCATCTGTCATCATTTTGATTTTGATATCGTTCCCCAAAGTGCCCAACTCTCCTCTGAAATAGGATTGTTTCTACATTCATGAAGACTCAATGAACCGGCAGCTCCAAACAAACAGCTCAAGCAGCTATTTGTAGCCTAGGCAGATTGTGATTATTGCCCTTTAGCGAGTGATAACTAAAACTTTTGACTGAAACTGTTTCCTCTCATGCAAATGCAATGAGAGTTTATTTCATGAATTTGCAGTAGGCTTCTTCCTATAAGCTATGCATATTTGAACCTGTCAAGTTGAGTTTTGAACCACAAAAAACATGTGTTTAATGAAAATCAGAATTTGCAAATAAAACTGAGTTTTCATCACCGTACATTAAGAATTACCCACAAATCAGGTTTCATAGCTGGAAATGGATTTTAGGTTAGGAAATGGTTAGTACAATTCAATTGTAGAGAGTTTACATTCAGTCCGGGGGTAATATTTTTTGTCTTCATTTTGATGGTTAATTAAGGAAGGCTATGATACAAATCTAATTATAAATGACAGTGTTACTAGTCAGGTGAGAACATGGCAATATTAACTAAGAATTTCTGTTGGTACAGTTGTTTATTAGAATTGAAAGATGCCAGATAAAGATTTGTTATCTTCCGTTTTATTTAATGTGCGAAGTGTTCTCCATGACAATTCAATTTTTGAAATGTTGTCTTTTGGATAATAAAGATTTTCATATAAAATTAAAGAAATGAGCACTTCAAATGTATCTAGTTCCAATTAACCCCTTTTCTAAGGTTTGTGTTCTCACAATCCACATTATAGTCATTTCTCTAGATGGGCATGTAAACAAACAAAGAAATAATATTTTTTTACAAAAAAAAAAAAAAAAAAAACTTCCAGGAAATAGTACTATTCTACTATTAGACTTATTACTAGATATATTCTTTTTTGGGGAAACATGACTTAGCCCATAAGAAATTTGAAGCAGACAATACAAATCACAATAAACTAGAGTTTTTATGCTTGTATTTAAATAGTTTTCCAGCGTAAACAACATACTAGTTTCTTTCTTATTTCTTACATTTGCCTAACGTGCATTAGGAAAGCATGAAATTCAGACTTAAAAAACCTAATTGTTTATAAAATACTACTGCAAACAAAATAAAAAAAGAGAGCTATGAAGAGGAAAACATGGAAAAATCCTGAGTCTAGAAGGTTAGAAAGCATTCCAGAGAATCCTTTGAGAACTAACTCCTAAAACTACCATCGCCAGCTAGGTTCAGTTATGGAACAACCTGCTCATCGAGTCCCTCCACCTTCTTTCCCAAGGTGGTTCTGGTATACACATTCCTAACCGGTACAAAACCCCCTTTCCTGGTCAAACCTTCTTTCTTGAGGTCATATGAGTTTTCCTACATCATGCTTTTCCCTAGGCAAAATCTCATCAAAGACTCTTTTTCTCCCCTCCTGATCAGGACAAACCATTCAGAAGCGAATGGAATAGGGCAGAAAAAGTGAGGACTGGCCTTTAATTCAGACAATGTAGATCATTTTTTACAAGATTGATTTTATAAGAAGGGCTAACGTGTTCTAAAATCTCTTCCCCCACAGGCTGTTTGCCTGAAATTCTTCTACTCACTGAGTTCAAGGCCTTTGCCAGTGTTGATGTTGTGTGCTGTAGAATCGTTTCTGACACATAGTGACTCTACAGGACAGAACTTCCTCACAGGGTTTCTGAAGCTGTAAAGCTTTACAGGTGCCGATCACCAAGTCTTTTTTCCTGCAGAGCAGCTGGTGGGTTCAAACAGCTAAGCTGGTGAATTCAAGCAGCCGAAAGCTTAACCAATGCAACACCAGGGCTCCTTCCTTTGACAGTAATATGGCAGAAAGAAGCAGAAAATCTTTGCATTTAGGCAATGGTATAAAATGTTAGTGTGGGATTTAGAGTTTTGTTTTGTTTTTTTTCCTGCAAGGACAAAAGAAACATAGTGGTTTGATGCTAACATTAGATTAAAGAATAAACCAGACAGAAATGTGACACAAAATTTATCTCGAGAATAATGACAGCTATTAATGATTTCCCATAGAATGTAAGAAAAAAAATAAATGCAATCACTTGGCAGAAAGTGACAAAAATCTTTTATTGATTTCTTTCTTCTTTTATTCAGGAGTCTCCCTGAATCTTTCTATGGAACAAAAGGTTGTGAAACCCTTCACAAACTTTAGCACCTTCAGAAAAGCCTTCCTCAGCTTGCTGTTCCCCATTATCAGGATGAATGAGTGACTTGATGGGAAAATGATAGCTATTATACCACCACACGTCACCACTAATTTTCTCTGAGGAATCAGGAAGCTAGCGGTGACTACAAGAAAGGCTGTGTAGTACATAATGAGGAGGGGCAGAAAGATGATCACCACCTTTATGGCCCTCATGTGGGCCTCTGTGCTGGGGCCTCTGGACCCTGTGGCATGAAGTTGCATCTGCTTGGTGTGTCTCAACAGGGAGAAAAGTAACAAGAGAAAAGAGATCAGGGATAGAATAAAGGGGACTACAGCCCCCAAGTTCAGATGAACCTGTTGCAAAGCATTTTGGACTTTACTCACTTCGAATTCCAAAGTTCTGTTTTCTTCATTATGGTCCTTGAAGTGACACCGGAAATCCTCATGCAAATGGAAGCTCACTGAAACACTAATAAGTAAGGAGATGACAAAAGACCCCAGAATAATCCCAAGGACGACTCTGTTCGTATTTTGCTTCAGCCAGAGGAAAATCGGCTGAGAGATATTGGCTATTTTGAGTAAAGAGAAGATGCTGAGGCAAGAAGCAAATCAGACACTTGAACAATTGCTAAGCATCCAGGAAACATCCAAAATGCTCATTAGTTTACCATGAGTATATGCATCTGGAGAGAGCACCGTAACAAAGCCATCTAAAGACATTACACACAACAAAAAGATTCTGGAGTTGGCCAAGCTGATCAAGATGATGTCAACCAAGGAGATATCTCTCCTTTTGAGGTAGCCAATGCAGTTAACCAGCACAATGAATCCATCTCCCGAAATCCCTATCACCAATTCACCAGCAATCAGGATCATATATTTGACCTCCATTGTACTTGGCATGTCAGCAGAGACCTCTGATTTTGAATATCACTGATGATGAGTTGATTTCCAGCTGATCATAGAAGAGTGATGAATATGTCTGCCCCTTAGGTCATACTGCAGTTGTTTTTATCCATCCTCTTTGTCAGCCGTGATTCAGGTCAAGAAGATGGCCAGCTCTGCTCTGGCTTCGAACTGCCCAAAGACTTCACTGATTGGGGCCAGTAATTTCCACTGTGTGTAGTGATGATGATTAAAAGGCTCTAACATGCAAATGGGAATGGATCTGATTTCTTGGATTTGCACAATCTTCCTCATTTTAAGCTTTTATATTTTAGGTTCATCAATCTGAGCTGTGGACTAGGAATTTCAAGAAGGAATCAATTACTTGGAAAATACAGCTAAACTCTCATTTGGAGATGGATTATTTTGACATCATCACCTTCTCAAATTACTTGTGAAGTTCCCCCAAATTGTGGTCTGTTTTGTACAAATGCAGGCGTAGGGGGCTTAAAAATAATCAGTGAATTAAAAGTGCAGGGCATTAACATTAATAATTTAAATATTAATGTAACACATTGAATTCATTAATTAGGACAATTCAGATAGGACAGTAGTGATTTTCAATTTTCTTTAAACGACAAAGTTTGTGTTTTATATAATAAGGTGTATGTTTTACCAAGCACTATGTCTAGAAAATATTTGTTATCTTTGGCTTTATTCAAATTAAAAAAATGTTCTTAAAAGGCATGAAACATTTTCCTAGTCACCTCAGGGCAAGGAACTTATCTTTCAATTTCCAAAACCTCACCTCTCAGCTATTCAACTTCTAACTCTTTCACGCAGTAATACTGAAGAAACTCAGTTGTGTCAATCCACTCTTCTTGGTCAGAATTTCATCTCAGAATCTGTATTTGTATGCAACCTATTATGGTTTGATAAAATATATCTTCTTTATAATGCTTTTAGGAGAACTGACATCCATTTCAAAGGCAAAACATATATCTGATCAGATTTTCATTATGGTTTTATGATTTAAAGCACATAGTATCTAAATCCATAAAACAGTAAACTAAACTATACTGATATTCTCTTCCATTGGCTTCAATATTTCACTAACTTAACACACAATCTGGAGGCTTTCAGACTTTGGCATAACTGGAGAAGCTGCTCTGTCAGAGGGAAATGGCATGAGGTGATCTCAAATAAATACCCCAGCATCATTTGCACATGTATTCTGAGAATAACAGAAGCTGAGTATAGGAACTGGGGACCAAGAGTACTACCTGTTATGTGGGGTTAAGGGTCAAGTATCTTATCATATATTTAAGAGTCATTCAGATTTCTTTTTTTGTGAACTGTGTATATTCTTCTTTTTAAAATATTTTATTGTATTTTAGGTGAAAGTTTACACAGCAAATTAGGTTCCCCTTTAAAAAATTTTATACAAAATTTTCCAAGCCATTGGTTACATTTTTTACAATGCGTCAACATTCTCATTATTTATATTCTGTTTGTTCTGTTTCCATTGATCTAACTTCCCTTTCCCTTCCTTGTCTTCTCATCTTTGCTTTTGGGTAAAGATTGACCATTTGGACTCATATAGTTAATTGTGTATGGGAGCACATTACTCATAGGTGGTATTGTTTATTTTATAAGCCAATCTATTATTTGGCTGAAAGGTGACCTGCAGTTAATAGTTTCCATTCTAAGTTCAAAGGGTACCTTAGGATGATAGCCTAGGCGTTTCCTCCAGTCTCCGTCAGTCCAGTGGGTCTGGTCTTTTTTAGGAATTTGAGTTTTGTTCTACATTTTTATCTCATTTTATCTGGGACCTTCTATTGTGTTCTTGGTCAGAAAGGTTGGTAGTGGTAGCTGGGCACCATCTAGTTCTTCTGGTCTCTGGTTAGAAGGGGCTGTGGTTTATGTGTGCTATTAATCCTGTGGACTAGTATCTTCTTTGAGCCTTTGATTTCCTTCACTCTTTTGGTAGATATGAGAAGAAACTAGTAGAGTAGAGACCAATAGTTGTATCTTAAGTGGCGGCTCACAAGCTTTTAAGACCCCAGATGTTACTCACCAAACTAGGATGTAGAACATTAACTTTGTGAACTATGTTATGCCAATTGATTAGGTTGTCCCCTGACACTATGATCCCGAGCCTTTTAACCCAGTAAACTGATCCTGTGAGTTGTATGGATATGTCTAGGAAGGCTTCATAACTGTACCACCTATGTGATTTGTTATATATGTGGATATACATGCACACGCACACAGATGTGTATATACATATGCCTACAGATACACCTATATGCATCCATATCTACCTACATAACCACACACATAATTTTTGGGTTTTTTTTTTTCTGTTGTTGCTAAATTGTACATATTATAGCATTTACCAGAATTGACCCTTTTTCTCGTGTACTTCTCAGTGTCTTTATTTACCTTGGTCAAGTTGTGCTGACTTCACCCATATTTGGGATTGCTTTTCCCATCACCAGAAGTAACAAGTGTCTACTCTTGAAAGTGATTCCCCTCCTTCTCCCTCCCATCCCCAGTAACCATTAAAGAACTTTGCTTTCTGTATGTATATCTATTCTTGACTTTTGATAATAGTGGGACCATACAATGTTTGTCTTTTCATGATTGACTTATTTAACTCAGCGTAATGTCCTCCAGATTCATCCATGTTATGTTTCACAGACTCCTCATTATTCTCTATAGTTGTGTAGTACTCCACTGTATGTGTGTACCACATTTGTTTATCCATTCATCCATTGATAGGCACTTAGGTGGTTTCCATGTTTTTGCTATTGTGAATAATGCGGCAGTGAACATAGGTGTGCATATGTCTATTCATGTCACTGCTCTTATATCTCTAGGATATATGCCGAGGAACTGGATTGCTGGATTATCAGGTATTTCTATTTGTAGCTTTTTGAGGAAGCACCATACTGTTTCCTCAAAAAGGAAATGAGATTGTACCATTTTACAGTCTCACTAGCAATGTATAAGAGTTTCAACTCCCCACAACCTCACCAGCATTTGTTGTTTTCTGTCTGAACTATCTATATTCTTTTCTCGTTTTTCTGCCTTTTCATGAATTTCTAGGAGTCTCCAGGTGGCACAAACAATTAAATGCTTGACTACTAGCCAAAAAGTCGGCAGTTGAAACACACCCAGAGGTGCCTTGGAATACAGACCTGGTGATCTGCTTCTGAAAGATCACGACATTGAAAACCCTGTGGAGCAATTCTACTCTGCACATAGTTGGTGGCCGTGAATCTTAATCGACTCAATGGCAAATAACAACAACAACAAGGAGGTTTTTACATATTAGAGGGTTTCGGGAAAATTACCAACATTTTCCTAGTTTGTCAATTGTCTTTAGCCTTTTTTTTTAAGGTGAGCAGAAGTTTTCAAGTTTTACATAGTCATTTTTATCAGTCTTTCTTAAAACAACTTTAGGACTTTGAGGTCATAAAAAAATTGAAATGTTTCTACATTTTTCTCTATTGTTTTTATTATTTGCTTTTTCTTTACATTTAAATTTGTAATCAATTTTAATCAATTTGGAATATATATATATATATATATACACACACACACACGTTCATACATAGTCAATTGTGGGCCCAGATTTATTTTGCTACAGACAGATGTCCACTTGTTCCAATAATGTTAATTGGGTAATATTATTTCCCCCCTGATATGAGATGCCACCTTTATTTAAATGATAATTGAGGATCAAGTGGCAGCTGCATTTGACTCATTGCATAAATGATGACTAAAGGACTGTGAGTGGCATGGCTATTTCTAGCTACATAGGAGAACTTACGACAATTCAAGGTTTAAATTTTCAGCTTATATAACAGTCAGAAAATCAGAGATCTTCTATGGTGGCTCTAAAAGAAGCTCTTATTTTTTTGTAGCTGTAAGTCAGACTTAAACTTAGTTGTGTATGTAACTGAATTACTATAAGTTTTCCAAATTCAAAGAGGATGATGGGATCCTGAAATATCAGTGCTTAACTGGTAGAGACAAGACACAAATAATGTATTGAACAGCGAGGCCTAAGTGGTTATTAGAATATATGGAACCTCAGGTATCTTTGGTGGTGCTTTATTGATGATGGTGTCTTTAGGAAGGAAAGAGATGGGCATTCTACTGAAATCTGACATGATCTTTATCACAGGAGAAGTTCTGGGTCTGGTGGTCAGAAAACAGACTTCATTGTCACAAGGCTAACTCATGATTTCACCTGGTCTATAGTTCTAAGCCATTGTCCAAATCCAGGGCTATTTGACTGAAGAAGAGGCAAGATTCTCTCGAGGAAGGGCTGTCCTGCACTGCCACAAGTATATACTACAGGTCTTCTTCCAAGACTTTTCTTCATGCTATTTACTAGGATGGTTCAAAAATACCAAGAAGTTTAGGGGATTAGTGTACATTAACTCAAAATTGACACTAATTGTTGAGGACCTCAAACACCACTATGGTTCACCAATAAAAAACAGAGGCTTATGGTGTTTAGGTATTGACAAAGTTTGAACCATAGTGAGTCAAAGTAGGTCTCATGACCCCACTCGGTGGTTATTTTTACATTTCCTGAGTGTGTAGTTGGAATAGATACACCTGAAAAATGGAAAAGCCCCCACACTGGCTGTCGTATCCATGGAATTAACTACTGTGGTTGAAGGTTCAAGTGGAAGCCCCTGAATTTCCTTCTATGTCAGCATAGTAGTAAACCAAAGCAACACCTCATTCTTTGGAGAATTGCCAACACTAACCCCATCATAAAGACTTGAAAAATGAAGAGATGGTGAAACTTAACCCTACCTCCATTAATACTATATAAATAAAATATCTATAAATTCCCGTTTTATTAACTCTTACTAACAAGAATGAGTAACGTGATTGTGAAATGTCTTTTCACAAGTTTATAGAGATGTTAATATGCTTTTTCCTTTAGATTTATAAATATGGTCAATTAGCTGGATAGATTTTACAATATCAAA